AACTTGACTTCAAACGACCCCTACACAAAAACTCCCTATGTAATATTCAAATACAGTAACTGATCAGTCTGTTGCCAAGTCTCCCCTTAGATAGTCATAACATGAAATATGGCAGGCATACACAATAGACTCTCTTTGTTACAAACGTGTCTATAATATCCTGAAAGGAAACAAACTAAATGTGTATCATCTGTAATAATTATAAATGAGTATAGACAATATGCACAGGTTTTGTAAAGAGTTTGTGGATTGTACAATACTGGCCAGACTGGATCCGGGGCTGCTTTGCTGTGGCACGCTGGACGGCACCCCCTCTCTCTCCTTCTCTCTCTCTCTCTCCTTCTTGTCTCTCAGATCACAGGAGAACAAAACCCAAAAAAGGCAAACAACACTTTAGTCCTTTTATGTACTCACAAGGTTATTTCCCCCCAAAATAAGAGTGTTACCTCTCTGAATAATCATAATCTATTTTCCCTAACTTTTTAACATATCTACGTTCACATGCAAGCTAAGGAATTTCGGTGTCGTTTACACTGGGGATGCTGGGGACACTACTCTTCACTCCTATTTAAAGCTTACTCTATTAACAACCGTTCTTCAATACCAATGAAAATGCCTTTTTTAAATGTATTTACACACATAAAAAACCCCAAATGAAAAGTAAGTAAAATATAGAAAAACAAATGCGCACTTCCCAAAAAAGTAACTTAGGCTAAGAAAAACCCCCACTGCTGCTTCTGAAATGACCCAAACCATACAGCAGCCATTAATCAATAACTTTAACAAATTTCAAAACACAGTTTTCCCCTTGATCAAGTTCCCTTCTCTATTTCTTCATTCATATATATGTATATTCTCTTCCTTCTTTATTTATTTATTCTATTATTCATATATGTCTTCTTGAATCCTAGCCTTATTGTCCTCTGCATAGTCTCTCTCACACTAGGCTTCTCCTATTTCCCACACACACAACCGAGACACAGCAGGGCAGCTCTCCACACACACACACACATGGTAGCTATCCAGTCAACAAGAATGCATTTCTTCACACTGTTTATAAAGCATGCTTCCGCCGCACCCTTTTCCTTTATTATTTTCCTTCCTAAATTTATGCTACCTCGAGTTTGCAGATATTTAATGAGAGGCCACTTCGGACATAGTTCGTCAACACATGTATCGAGAGGTAACTTACAATTAAATTTTTCTTCTACAAGCTCCCAGTTCCTTTGAACGGACCCGAAAATTCACCTAGTTCCTTTCCAGGATTTGCGGCCCATCTAAGATCGCCTTTCAAGGGCTTTTTGTCCAGATCTGCGGCGTCCTAATCCTTATATTACCTTTTTCCTTAACCTTATATTTTCTTCCTTATCCTTATTAATTTGTATTCAAGCCGAATGACCCTGGCCAGGGTTGCACTCTCTCTCTTTTCCCTTACTCCAATTTACCTATTCCTTAAAGCCTAGTTTCACGCGACAGTAATTTCCATCCCACATGACTTACGGTTATAAGAATCTGAGGGCCCATATTCTTAATCTTTGCAAAGTTATGAAACCTCACTTCCCGTTACTCCTAGGCTGTTCCTTTTTCTTCCTTTTATATCTATCTATCTGTCTTCATTACATTCACACACACAACCTATTTGCGTTATCCACAATGCACACTAAATTTAGAACGGAGTCTTCTCACACATCCACCCGCAAGCATTCACACGGGATCGAACCGGTGTACCCTTCAACGCACACACAGACACACGAACTGACCAGCGCCCACAGTTTATGAGAAAACTCACCCTATACGCTAGCTTCTGGAGCGGGAGTCAGCTCGACGGTGCCTGTGATGGAACGACGAATTCTGGCACAACACGGTCCCTTCGTGGTCGTCAATTTCTGTGGTGTCCGAACGATAATGCTGCGATGATGTGTTGAGAAGAAATCCGCTTGACACTGTTCTTGGTTATAAAAGTTTATTACATCAAAGAATTCAGCATCAATTACAAGCTCTGCAGCAGCTTGGAGAGTGACCCAGCCCGATGGCCACTCTGTCTCTCTGTACATCGAACACAGCTTATATAGGACATGTTTAGGTCTCTGCTAAAAACCATATAAGGGCACGGTGCTGTAGAATAAATGTAACCATCTATTAGACACCACAGAAGGGTATAGTCCCTTCATACACACTAATCTCTTTATACCTAATCTCTACTTCCCCTAACACTGCACCCATCAATCATTACTTCCCATAAGGGTTCACTGTCCCTCTCACCAGCTGCAGAGCATTATGTTAAACTGTAATGGCCGGATGCACATATGTTATACACCACACAGACTGAGTGAAGTATCTACAGTCTGTGGTACCACACAGTGTGAGCTGGCCATCCATCCACAGATGGACTTTAGCCTACTGTAGAGGCTGTATACAATAAAATCATCAGGGTTCCCATGTGTCCTGGAAAACCTTGAAAACAGTTCATGAGTTTTTCAGTCATGGAAAACGTCTCGGGTTACGTATGTAACCCTGGTTCCCCGAGAAGGGGAACGAGAAACTGTGTCGGTTACGACACTATGGGAACGCCTCTAGGCTGAAGGTGAATGAAATCACTCCAATCCTATTGGCTTGTTGCTAGAACGGTAAGGTGTGACGGAATAACCGGAGAAGTATACAGCACACCTGTACACACTCATCATTAGCTTAAACTATGAAGCAGGCGCTTCAGGCGGGGAGAGAGGTGCGGCGGGCCGACGCAGTGTCTCGTTACCCTTCGAGGGGAATCAGGGTTACATACGTAAACCGAGACGTTCCCCTTCGAGGGAACTCGAACTGCGTCGGTTACGACACTATGGGAACGAGATACCCACTAAACCGGGCCGAAAACCCCGCCTGCCCCAGTGTGCAATAAAGTGGCACGACTAAGAGGAGAGCGCACGAGTGCCAGGTGCCGAAGGAAGGTCAAGACTGTAAAACCGAATGAATGTGTGCGGAGTGGCCCAGCCAGCCGCTAAACAAACATCCTGCAAAGAGGCCCCGGGAAGGAGGGCTCGAGAGGCCGCCATGCCTCTGGTGAATGAAGAATGAGCCCTCACAGCCACAGGTGAAGGCAAACCGCGCACCTGATAGGCCAGGGAAATAGTCTGAACAATCCAGTTGCTAATAGTATGTTTGGATGCAGGGAGCCCGGCCCTGGGAGACCCAAAACACACTAGCAGCTGGTCAGCCTTCCTCCAATGGGAGGACCTAAGAGTGTAAATACTCAGTGCTCTGACAGGGCAGAGCAGATGAAGTCTCCCGTCCTCCGCCGTCACATGAGGTGGAGGATGAAATGCAGCACTGTGGACCCTGCCGCACAAGAAGGCACTTTAGGGATGTATCCTGGACGAGGGTGTAGGATAGCCCTAATATTCCCCGGGGCAAACTCCAGGCTTGCGGGGAAACCAAAAGCGCTTGGAGATCCCCCACCCTCCTCAGAGAGGTGATAGCAAAGAGAAAGGCCATCTTGAGGGTCAAGTGCTTAGCCTCAGCTGACTCCAGGGGTTCGAAGGGGGCCTCAGCCAACGCCCCAAGAACCACCGCCAGATCCCAAGTGGGAACCTTGGACCGAGTCGCAGGTCTCATCCTCCGCGCACCACGGAGGATCCTTGTGGACGGGGCCCTGGAGCTGAGGAGGGTCTCGACTGCTCCGGCTGTTAGACCCGCCTCTAGGTACTGTGCCCCCTCAGGGGCCAGACCCACAGTCGCCATATGGCGGGGCAAGGGTGAATAACCCGGCCCTGCGCCTGGGACAGCAGGTCTCGCCTCAGAGGGACCCGCCACGGCGGGCCGTCCAGGAGCGATCATGATGTCCGAGAACCACACCCGGGTTGGCCAGAACGGGGCTACGAGCAGTAGACCGACATTGTCCTGGCGGACCCACTCCAGAACCCCTAGGAGCAGAGCGACTGGGGGAAAAGCGTACAGCGGGCAGTGCGTAGTCTCTGAGACGCAAACAGATCCATGTTTATGGGGCCGAACCCTTCCCAGTCCTGAAGCCCTCCCTGAATTCCCTGTCTGGTTTTGGACCCTGGACCCTCATCAGCCGGACCCCAGTGCGACTTCCTCCCCCCTATGTTCGTCTGCCAAGCCCCGCCTTGTCCCATGGGAAGGCCGCAGGGAGGCGTCCTTTGAGGAGGGGGCCCTGTTGTGGTGGCAGCCCGGCTGACGGTGAGTGTCCTGGTTTTTCTACTTTTTATCAGTTTTTCTGCTTTTTTCCTTGGTTTTCTGTTCTCTGCCTGCCTCCCTGTGTTTTCTCCCCTGTGTGCTCTCTCTCTCCCTCTGCTCCTGAGCCCAGCCAACTACCTGCACCTGCATCCCATCAGCCACCTCGTCAGCCTGCCACACCTGCCAGTAATCAACCTCATGCCTGCCTGTATTTCAACCCCGGTTCTCCACACCATCCTCGCTTGATCGTCGTTGCTCCTTACCCGGTGCCATCCCCACGTTCAGGCTTCCATGTTTCTTGTTTT